CATTGATTGGTCAGCAGTACGGGGGGATTTGCCCCGTGGGCGCTTAGTTTACAAAGTCATAGTCTCACTGGCGAGGACAGCGCAGCTTATTTTATTATTGCATGTAAAAAAGGACAGGAAGACCTACCTGTGCTCATAAGTGGAGGGGCCATCTACGAAGTCCGCACGCCGACCTGGACCTCCTGCCTTCACACATCAGCTACTGGACCGACGTCCAGCCTGTGACTGTCTGACGCGTCACAGCGCGCCTCTCCACAATGACTCCCCCAACTGCGCGCTGAACACCCAGATAGATGTGGGTACGGAGAGGAGCACGAAGCTCTTCGCTGTGTACACGGATAAAACGGTGGCTATGCACCAGCTCTCGCCCAACACGGCACCAACAACAGCACCCATTTCAGGAAAGTGGACAAATTCGCCAATTTAGACAGTACAGTCTGATGCTGCCCCAAAATCGACCATGAAGTTACTCACCGGATCTTCAAAGCCTACCAATCGGCTGCGGGTCGCCGTGTACAAGTGCCACGGTTCCCATCTGAACAGTAAATTCAAGATGTGAATAGCTGTCATAGTGACATCGCTGCTGTACGGGGCAGAGATTCGAATAGTCTACAAGAAACAGGACTCTTTAGGCAACTACGTTTGCGGCTGATTCGGTAGTTTATAAGAGAGCTCAATACTTGCGTCATATTTGTCACCTTCCGAACCACTTTAGTTTTTAGTCCACCTCGATTTTTCCGATTTATAAGAACAATAACGAAGGACAGCTGGCTGTTTTGTTCCTCATCCATCGTGAATTAGATGTCCGGCGGACGGTGTTGAGGTGTCAGCACTCGATCCCGTTTGATGATTAAGGTATCATCCAGATGTCATGCCCAGAATTTTAGTCTTGGCTGCCACCACCGACTTCGACCGTCCCACCTATGAGTCTCAAAAGCGATGAACCTAGCTCTATGCTTTTCACCTGCTCATAGACTGCGTCGTCGAACGTGAAGTACGTCTTAATGCAGAACTCCGGGAGTTGGAAGATTTGGGTGTATTGGAGACGATTTAACGCTTCACCGCATCACCTTTGCAGGGGTCGTTTGAGGTCTCGACGGCCAGATTTTGGGGAGTAGAAGCTAAGCTAAACGTGACATCAAAAGATGACATGGACTCGTTTGACAGAAGACCTACAGTAGGTGTGCTAATTCATGAAATGTTAACCGAAATTCTGAAAAGATTGTGAAATGATTTTGAAAAGATTCCTTAAGTATGATTGTAAAATTAATCCTCATGCAGCATAAATCTATACTAATTCAGTTACCTCGGGATGCTGGCTTCCGAACAAACTTCTTTCCGGCTGCATGCAAAAACCACACTCTGTAAAAAATGGCTACTTAAGTAGCATGAAGTTTTCATTGATTTTTGATGCCCCGAAGACTTCAATTATATTTCATGGAAAAGATGGATAAAAAATTCATTATTTTGCATATTTGGTAGAAAATTACGTCTGTTTCCAAGTTTATACTCGGAGAAAGGGTGTAATTCGGTTTTAAAAAGTTTCCAATAATGAGATTTTTTAATACCGTGAAGTGCCCGTTCATACAACATCGCGTCTCTGCATTTGCTAATGTAGCCTGTAAAGTTTACAATATGGCTCTATCCACTGCTAGATTTTATGAATACCATATAGTCTCCTCTTAATATCGTAGAGAAATGTATGGTTTTCGGTACGCAGAAAATATATGGTTTGTAGTTAGTAAACCTTGAAGGCAAGTTAAACGGCAGGTCGGGTTCAAAATTATTCGGGAATTGAAAACGTTTTTGAAAACCGAATCCTACTCTTTCTTCGAGTATAAAATTGGAAGAAGATGTAGTTTTCTACCAAATGAGTAAAAGGATGGACATTTTTATGCATGTTTTCCATGAAATAAAATTGAATTTTTAAGGGTATCAAAAATTAATGAGAAAAATTCACGCTACTCAAATAGCCGTTGTTTGTAGAGTGCCGTGTTTTGCATGCGGCCGGAAAGAAGTTCGTTTGAAAACAGACATCCCGGGGTAACTGAATTATTATAGAATAATGATGCACGATGATTAATTTTACAACCCTACTTAAGTTATCTTCTCAAGACGAAAACGCAGTTTAGAATTTCGATTCACATTTCATGGGTTAGCACATCTACTGTACCTCTTATCTGATGTTATCTTTAATGCCGGGCCCAAGTGCGAATCTAAAACGTCAGGTGAATGCAGTCAGTTCTCCGTCGATCGCATCTTCTTCTCGTGGATAACCAAGTTCTTCGAAAGGTCATGTATTTTATCATTTTATTCCTGGCCTTCCTAACCATTTGGCATAAATTCAGAATGGTTTTGACTGCCGCTTTTACCAATACACCTTTTGGTTTCAGACGTGCTGATTTTATGAGCTATGTGACTGGACGAATATACAACGGCCAGGTTTTGTCCTCCGAACTTCCGCTGAAAGCCGGTAGAATCTTGCCGAATCTCTGCAAGGGAACTTTAACCTTCCTTAAGGGCAGAGGTGTTACAGTTATTGACTGGGACTTAGTTATCTCGTATAGCTATGAATTCCAACCCTTTAGGCGGCAGTCAACAAGTCTTTAACGTTCATTTTTTCTTTTTGTCTTTTTAGCGACAACCCTCTTTTTGAGATAAAACAAAGATGTAACGACGTAAGGTGCATGGATACAGACAAGTTTCAGCGAACTTCGTTCTACCTAGGATATGGACATCAAAGGCTCTTACATCAAGGTCACTGTCTGAAAGACTTCTTGGCAGTCTAGCCCTGTTCTTCTCGGCCCCAGCGACATGTAAACCCGGCATATTTTTCGGCCTCCCATCAAAAGTGATGAAGGAAATAGAATTGAAAATGAGCTAAAATGCTAGTTTTGATAGGTTATCTCAACCGTAGAACCGGAGAAGGTTTGGACATCAAGTCCGTCACCTCTTCAGACAAGAAGTGATCCTGCGTCGTTCCCTGCAGTCGGGGTTCAAAGCCCAATAGTATGCAATCAGGTATTTGGATCTGATCCATCTCATGCAGAGTATGACTCGATTGGGTCTCCTTTGTGTAACCTAGACTGATAGCCGTCATGGTCTGAGTTTTGCATGTCACCTTGCATCAGTATAACATTTTCGACATATATACATTCATATTGACCCAACTGTGAAAAACTCGGCGCCTCGGTGGGATTCGAACCCACGCAGTAAGGGGAAGGCTTTAGTACAGCCAATGCTGTAACCACTTGAGCTACGAGGCCCCGCCGGACGACTCGAGTTTAATCACATTTGGGTCAAGTTTACCCACCCAACCTACTGCAACGTCTGGAAGCCACCAAATCTGATACAGTAAGTAAGTAAGCAGGATTTCCTAAGTAATTCACCCAGAATCCACCAGATGACTGCCAGGCTCACGTAATTCATAGATGTTTTGGCAGATTTTGAATAATTCATATTGACCTAACTGTGAAAAACTTGGCGCCTCGGTGGGATTCAAACCCACGCAGTAAGGGGAAGGCGTTAGTACAGCCAACGCTCTAATCACTTGAGCTACGAGGCCCCGCTGGACGACGCGAGTTTGATCACATATCATTCTAACTTTGGACCCGAGGAAACTGCCCATTAAGTGCAACCCAGCTGATTAGAGAGGAGCAAGTTGGTCTCAACCTCACAGTCCTCAACTAGTATCTCCAAAGGTTAAAGCTATCTTGGAAAGTAGGGATTCCACAGACATTTCATGTGGCCATGTCGAGATGGCAAACCCAATCAATGTACTACAACAAGACACGCTGTCCAGTACAAATTTCTGAATATCAAAAGGGAAATCTGTTTGTGGCCATGCGACATTCAAGCCTATCGAGGTAACCAACCCATTCACTATTTTTTTCAGTGTATCCCTGAGAAAATAATTAAGGAGTATATTATCGAAGCTAAAAAGTCCGAAATGTTGACTAGAGTCATTTACAGTTGAGTGTGCAATTGAGAACGCTTCGTTCACAAATTCCTGACGAAAGACGGAAATCCTGTAGACATGACTTACTACAAACTGGCTGTTCTGAGCGGCGACACAGTATCTCTGTCGGCTTTTCCGTCTCCCGGCCTCACCCCTTCTCATTATAGTGAAATAGCACACATTAGCTCTAGGAAGAAAACAAGTGTTAACAAATAAAATAACGCATGGAGCGCACAGAGCACTCAACAAAGGTTTGTCGTCCACACTCTGAAATTGTTTAAGGACACAATATCGAGCACATGCGTGAGGATGCCACAGGTCACCTGAAGAAGGAGCCATGACATGCGATGGTGTAGTGTAGCCGGCAGTTGTCTACTGATGCTTTTCGCTAATGCACATGTGGCGTAATAGGTCCATGCGATGGCTGAATGTTCGAGGCAGTGAGGGCACTGGAGCTGGATGCGGCGAGTTTAGGTTGGTGCACCTGAAACGGGCTAATCAGTCGCTGTGCGATGGATTCACAAGTGACCGACCATGCCGATGTGTGGGGCGAATGTGCAATCGCAATGAGGTTAGGTATGAACCAAGTTCACATCGTTGGTTGTGAGGATGTTGATGGTGAATGTGTGATAGGTCTTCGGGAAGTCAGGAGCGTTTTGCGGTGTTGGCGGCGCGATCCGGTTTGCTTCGTAAATGGTTACGCCAGTCTTCACTTCTCTTCTCCAGGCCGGTCTGCTTTGGGCGAATTTCTCCTGGGTCTCTGGATTGTAGCGCTGCTTTGGTCCTCCCGGTCGACAAGCTCCGGTGGAAATATCAGCATAAAAGGGTTGTTTCAGTGGACCTGCATCTTCCATCGTCACGAAATGGCCGATCCAACATAGTTACAATTGCCTCAGCATGGTGCGAATGCTGGGGATTCTAGTTCGTTCTAGAGCATTCGTGGAAGGCAGCTGAGACGGAAGTGGTTGAGCTTTCTGGCATGACTGGAGTAGACGCTCCAGGTCCCCGGTTCGTACAGAAGTGTCTTCAGGACGATGGCCTTTTAAATCTTCCACTTGATGTCCATTTGGAGGCCGTGGCGATTCCACATGGTGTTCTGCGGCCGACTGAAGGTTTGGCTGGCTTTGAAGATCCGGTGGGCCACTTCGTCGTCGATTTTGACGCAGCGAGTCATTATGCTGCCTAGGTAATTGAAGTAATCCACGGTTTTCAATTCGGCGCCGTTGACGCGAAGGCAAGGGATAATATAGTCAACAGTCGACGGCTGCTGATGCATGACCACCTTGTTGTCGACATAGACGGTCAGTCGAAAGTGGACGCAACGGGGGTTGATGAGATCCATGTTCCGTTGCTTGTCTTCTTCGGTCGTGCTGTTGTGTGCGCAGACGCCAGCAAAGAGCAGATCGGGAATATTTGATGTGGAGAGACACGTGGGGCCTATATTCTCCCGCTGTTGAGGAGGCGTTTGTCGGTCCTGCCTTGGGACGACCGCTCCAAAAGGCGTAGCCGGAACCCACCTCCTCTAGTTGGCCTTAATCGGAGAACCCGGTCTCGATAAATGCAGCGATGTCCACCTTGCAGCACCCCAGTTTTCAAGCGACGAGCGCCGTCCCTCGTGCCGGCCGGTAGCTCCTGGGATTGTTTAATAGGAAACGAACATTCTAGGCTACCAGGGTAAACGGACTCACCCTTCCAGCCTGTGGGGTGGGGCAGCTTGGGGTTGGAGCAGGAGCAAGAGGTGGTGAAGGAGATGATGATGATGATGATGATGATGATGAAGAAGAAGAAGAAGGGTTGAAGGGGTTATTTCATCTTGTATTTCTATGTTGACCCGATGCGTAGCAGTCTGCGAGCCATATGTGAGAGTTGGATGCCAGTTAGTGGACGCTAGGCGTAGTCAACACCCGCAGGCAAGTGGGTGACCTACTACGATCTTCACGTGAATCAACAGCTGGATACCGCTACATCCAGTGCACAGGTATCAGCATCAAACAGTCCACTGTCAGTGAATTTCTAACAGTAGGGAGACTCACGGTTGCGCGGTCAACATGATCGACGACCAATCTTCTTCATATCCCTTGCATAAGAGGCAGAGGAATTCAGTCGAAGGAGAGCTCGGACCTGGGTTGCTCTCGAAGTCGATAGCCCAAAAATCCGGTGAGGTCGCCGGCTAAATTCTTCTGCAATATCGTCGATTAATGGCGCGTTAGGCAGTGACGACGGGGGATATAACTTGTGGCTTTGAGGAATTCACCCATCCTGGAGACTTGATTGGCAACAAAGTTAGTACTCGAACAGTAAATTCCACGATAGAGGAAGACCTTTCCCTGCACTCAGTAGGGATTTCAGTCTGCTGAAATATTCCGACAAATTCATAACTTGTGTTTTCCAATTTGCAAGGGAACAGGGGTTTAATGCCACGATCCAAGTTTAAATTACAGAAAAAACAAGTGAGACACGCACAATTTTCTAACAACGCAGAAGCCCAAAGTTTAACCCAGTGCTGACATGAACGAACGCACAAGCTACACCTATGAATGGTGGCAAAATCATAACGACAATGACCTATGTCAAATCCGTGTGAGAGGTAAAAATCACGTTGATGTACTTTGACGTCTATCCGATCAGTTCGGAAGCCTGTATAGGATCCCCTCCTAACGCTGTGAGATTTAAAAGGCGATTTGCACTTGACGTGACCGTAATGAAGTCGGATCTGTCCGGTCTTCACAGTATTGCGGTTTGTAATTCTCATTAAGCGAAAAAGTACGACAGCAGACCTCGGACGCTTGATTAACCCCCGTATTCAACGACACATGCCGAGTATCAAGGGTCCAACACCCACTTCAATGCTTTGCCAGATTGCATCAAACCAGATTTTGAGCTGATCTCCTTACGGGCCTCAGTCAGGCAGTGATATAAGGGATGGCGGTACATAACTAATGGGCGGACAGTGGTGAATGCGCCCAAATCACATCAGTAATTTTTCTTTGATGGCCCAGGATATCCGCGTGGTGTCGTCACAGCGAGTCCAGACCGTCCCATTCGGAATGAAGACGGTGGACTCTACTCGAGGATTGTTTCTCATACAATGTGGGTCAAACATCCCCAGCCTTCACCCGACTTCCGCACGCACAGAGCAGCATTTACAACCGCACAGGAAGACTGACCAGATGAATGACCGATACGCGTCGATCTTTGTGGTGATGGAGAATATGGTGAGTCCACGGACACCTAAGACTAGTAAAAACCCAGCGAGCAGCATCGATCTGGGCGCCGATGCCCTATTATTTTGTCAGCGACTGCATCCTGAGTCCTTTGAAATTGTCCGTTTCTCTGGACTGCTACCTACTAGTCCCAGGAGGTGTTTTCTCCTGGTCAGAAATGGTTATAAACAGGTTTGGCTCTTGCAGTGTCTATGGGCTAATTCACACATTATCGATCTCATTTACCCATTATATGCTGTTGTTCATCGTAGCTTGGTGCTAGCGGTATGAAGGTGTCATCGTAATAAGGTCATTCGGTCGACCGACTGACATAAATTCGACGTCTGCAAAGCGACAGTTTTCCTCTCCCTGTAGTGCTGCCGTTGAACTCTACGCTTTCGAAGAATTACTACCGACGACATTGAGTTTGAAATTTACATTTCTGGCCTATTTGTCACTGTTCGCCAGGCATAATCCAATTCCAGGGTTTAGAGATTTGGGCTTTAGTTGACTAATGTGCTTGAGACTTCAATGAACCCATGAGCTCAAGTCATATGGGTTTGAGGCTTAAACACCTGCGATTATCGCTTATCAACGAGTTATCACCGAAAGACGTAATAATGGTGTTCAATTTAGTTTTTACTCCACCAGTTTGTTATGATTTTCAGCCAGAGGCTCGGACTTTTTAGACAGGCGCCTTTTTCTACCTATAATACTTGTGAAAATACTTCGAACAAGCGGGTCTTCCGCATTATGCTGATATAGTAAGAGTCCTTTCGACGAGGTCCATCCATCCTGGTTTAAAATATTTGAGTTGACCAGGCAGTGTGATTTTAGACATCTACTTTGACGTATTTGCTACAGAATTTGACGTAAATTTGCAGGTGTAAGATCGGACAGAGTGACGGATTTTGTTTTGGCTATTCCTTTTAAAGGAAAATTGTCAAGCAATAAGTTACTTTTTTTAGTCTCTCAATTTGCTTCAGGGGAGTATTTTACTTTAAGCGTTTGGGTCAAATTTACCTGTGCTCCTCGTTACTTGTGTCTTAACATACTGCGATGCATCATACTGTACCATATGAGAGAGCTGTCAAACTGCATCATCCTAAAATAAGATCCAGGGCAAACGCTTGGGATCTCAGCTTCTTTTATTATTGCATGTAAAAAACTCCTGGAGATTAACTCGTAAGGAACTCGGATTATTCGAAATGTTCATCTAAAGCTGTAGGGGGTCGGAGCCAGAAGCCGATTTCTAACATCCTCTGGATTCAAGATTGTGTACAAGCCCTTGTAAACGCATGATGAATGTATCACTTCCCGCTGCAGTAGCGCGATCATGCAGGCCAAACAGGGAAATTACGTCGGATGCGGAAGACCAAACATGCATCAGCGGCTGTGAGCGGTGGCGTCAAGTAGCAGGCTATAGCTTATTTAAAGCGACTGAGCCGCACCTCCAAGTTCATTGGAGCCCAATCCTTCACAACGGCTACGGCTGCGTAAGCCGCGAGATGACTGAGTCATGGTCCTGGTCGACCAATCGGTGCACCAGCTTCTTCTTCAGCAAGCCCTACTGCTCTGTCATGAGCTCTTCAGCCGTGAAAAAAAGTCGGCGTGTAGGCTGGCAATGAAGTTAATTTCAAGTTGTCTTAATGATCAATACTGCAGAACGATGCCCGCTGTGTATTGGATCCGCGAATAGACAGCAAATGCATCCCACAAATACCACAATTTTGACTTAAGACTGCATTTTAATGAGGACTCGAGTGCGAATCCGACAGCCAGGCCGGGCAAGCCAGTTTTTTGTTCAGACCGTCGGCGGTTTTCCTGCGTTTGAGCTACTCACTAGAACACAGTTCTACTTTCAAACACAAACTTTTGCTTCCCCGTTATAAACTTACGTTAATGGCGCGAGATGCAAATTTGTCGCATGAAATTAGGTGATTGCCGTAATAAGGTAGGCAATAAAAGGTTACGTAAAATGGAAAATCCGCCAGAACCGGATTAGTTTCAAACGTTGCATGTTGTGTCATGTTCTGACTAAAATGAACTCATTCCGCCGCGATCGTGTCTAAACCAAGTGACCTCGATGACGTTCCAAACGATTCTGCCGGCTGATCTCATAAGTCCCATGCACGTATTCACCCCAGAGGCAAAGACCGAATGCCATGGGACTAAAGGCCATCTTAAGTTCTCAGCTGACCGCGTTTCACCTGACTAACTGGACATCGCCGCTCAAAGTGAGGTACCAAATATAAAGTTAAGACAGACTTTAAACTCGGGGAATGAACGACAAAAGTGTGTCTAAACCACTTTAGGCCTCATTTATGAAGGCGCTGAGACATTTTGGCGGTCACCACAATACGTGCAAACTAACTAATTTGCGAAAAGTTTTTAGTCCAAACTTAATTCCTTTTCCCTTATATCCTGAACAAGACTGTCAGGGACAATGTCCATTCCAATAGTCCCTTGTATTACTTAAGATGTCTTGAAGGATCCGTTTGAAACTAGAAGGATTAGCAGAAGCCTGGGTGTGGCACCGACGACCCCTCTGACGGTCTAGCGACAATTTAGATCCAGGGTCTTTTAAACTGCCCACTTCGCCAAGTTGACGATTGTTACTTGTAAATGACAACTTTGCTTAGTCTGGGTTGCCGCATTGAGGAAACTCCAGGCCTTACAACCATAACTGGTAAACCGACTTATTTAAAGTTCTCATTGACGTAGAATACAGTATAGTGGCATGAAAAAGCGTTTTGTTTTAGCCCACCAAAAATATAACCCGTAAAAATTGGCATCCGGACTACTCAGTGCCTCGTCGATGACCGTTTCTTCTGGCCCAGCACAAACACTGATATCCGCCAATGGATTCGCCAATGTTTGGCCTGTCAGAAGGCCAAAATCAGATGTCATAATAAAGCCCTAACTGGGACCTTTCTTGCACCCGATGCACTTTTTGCACATGTGCACGTAGATCTCGTGGGTCCTTTCCCAACATGCAGTGGTTGCAACTATTTGCTACTGTAACTGACCGATTTACGCGATGGACCATTGCAACTCCGATCCCGAGCATCGCTGCGGATGCTGTCGCTCGAACGTTTTCGGAACACTGGATTTCCCATTATGATATCCCCACTACTATTAACAACTGACCGAGGCCAGCAGTTTGAATATAGACTTCTATCTGCGAATGTCTCTGATGATGGGTTCGAGTGAGAACCCGAAACGTCAGGCCAAAAAACTTCTTGTCCCAGTGATCGCATCTTCATCTTCTAGACTTCTTAATGCTCTTACTGACCTCCTTGGATGCTCTCGCATACGCACGACAGCTTACCATCCCCCATTCAACGGTCTAGTTGAAAGTTTCCACTGTCAACTTAAAACCTCGTTCCGGGCCTATGATAACTCCACTCATTGGGTGAGTATCTCCTTATGGTCATGTTCGGTATCCGTTTTGTTTTAGTGCGCCAAAAATACGACCTGTAAAAACTTTGACACAACTTTCAGTAGCAAGCTATCGTCACGTGGCATTCTTGCGGCTACTTTGTTCGTTCTAATTCTTTTCGCGATAGACCGGTTTATTTCTTACAATAGCAAATCATAGGCCTTCATAGTCTTTACCAATGAGATGATACCATCAACCTCAGACAGGTCAGCCAACCGATATTCGCAGCGTGGTGTGAGATAAAGAAGAGTCGGCATGCCGCGGACATTCCATATATATAATGACAGATGGACGCTCACCGATCAGGTAACGGAATGTACTCGTTCCCTTGTGGCTTTGGGCTCATTCTAGAACCCTCGAGTACTAATTTTGCTGCCAGCCAAGTCTCCAGGATGGGTGAATTCATCAAAGCCACAAGTAATACCCCTCGTCGTCACTGCCTAACGCGCCATTGATCGACGATATTGCAGAACAATTAAGCCGGCGACCTCACCGGATTTTTGGGCTATCGACTTCGAGGGCAACCCAGATCCGAGCTCTTCTTCGACTGATTTCCTGCGCCCCTTATGCAAGGGATATGAAGAAGATTGGTCATCGATCATGTTGACCGTGCAACCATGAGTCTCCTTACTGTTAGAAATTCACTGACAGTGGGCTGCTTGATGCTGATACCTGTGCACTGGATGTAGATGTATCCAGCTGTTGGTTCACGTGAAGGCCGCAGTAGGTCGCCCACTTGCTTGCGGGTGTTGACTACGCCTAGCGTCTAGTAACTGGCACCCGACTCTCCTCGCTAACCGCCCCGACCGGCGGGTTAAAACGGTGAGGGTGTCCGTGTGTGCACCTCCACACACAGTTATTCTGCTCCCCTCCCACCGCTGGCCGCACTGATCTCTCTCGCATCGTCATCCTTCAGATGAGGCTCCGCATGCAATCCCGCAGGCGACCACAAGCACTCAGTAAGCTACTGACCCAGTAGCTAAAAGACCTGTCCCTTTCTACTCTTTCGTACCTTCTCTCCGAATTTCTCCCCGCTCACTCTCTCCCTCTACTCTTCAACCTACTCTACTGTCTTACCCCACGGTCGAAAGTCCTACGGCGAGGGCGACCAGCAATCACGCAGGCGGCCCAGGTCATTGGTTTTCCTCGCACTAAACCCCGTGACCCACAGTGGGGAGCGGTATCCGTCTAGTGCGACAAAGCAGCTCTATTTAGGGAGAACGCTGTTTTTCACCGCGAGGGAGAGGGGACTGTAAAAGGTGCCCTAAGCAAAGCTGGATTAACGTCCTCTGCGAGCAGACCGCGGTTCGCGGACTGATAAACATCAAGTCGAAACCAAAACACAAGACGAAATATTATGTTCTTCTTCTTCTTCTTCTTCTTCTTCTTCTTCTTCTTCTTCTTCTTCTTCTTCTTCTTCTTCCTCTTCTTCTTCTTCTTCTTCACCCCCACGCTGCCCCACCCCGCAGGCTGGTGGAATGAGTCCGTTCACCCTCGTAGCCTAGAATGTTCGTTTCGTTTTAAACAATCCCAGGAGCTACCGGCCGGTACGAGGGACGGCGCTCGTCGCTTGGGAACTGGGGCGCTACAAGGTGGACCTCGTTGCACTTATCGAGACCAGGTTCTCCGAAGAAGGCCAACTAGAGGAGGTGGGTTCTGGATACGCCTTTTGGAGCGGTCGTCCCAAGGCAGAGAGACGGGAGGCTGTCGTTGCCTTTGCCATCCGGAACGACCTCGTGAGAAGACTGCTCTTTCTACCGCAGGGCATCAATGAAGTCTTTTTGAGCTTTCGCCTGCCGCTCCATCATCCGCGTTTACGCCTCCCAATGACCAGCTCTGACGTGGCAAGGAATAAGACCTGCTGGTGACAAAGGCGATCCGCGATGTCAACGGGTAGGCCGACCATCGCTTCTTACTTTCCAAGATGAGGATTCCCCCCACTGCCACTCAGGAGACCTCAAGGTGTGGGACCAACATATAAATTGAATATTGTCTTGTTGTCGCTGCCTGCTCCCCATTTCCATTTCAGCAATTAACTCGCCAAAAGGCTAGCCATCCTTCCAGTTGTCGCCCGTGAGGACGCGTACGTGGAGAACCGATGGTGCTAACTGAGGGACACGATCCAGTCAACCGCCCTGGCTGTCCTCGGCTGCGCTCGCCGTCAACATCAAGATTGGTTGGACGACAGTGACCGCCATCATCAATCTACTCGCTGAGAAGAATCGTCTGCACAAACCTGTGTCAGCCACCCTACTAACGGCACTAAAGCAGCATTCTACCGTAGTAGCCGCCTTCTGTAATGGCGGCTGTGGGAGATACAGGTCTTGACGGCTTGCACGACAAAGGAGATCCAGGGCTATGCGGATCGCAACGAATGGAAGAGCTTCTTCGCCGCGATTAAGGCCGTCTTCGGTCTGCTAACTAAGGCAGCTGCCCCTCTTCTCAGCGCCGACGGCTCTACCCTACTCACTGAGAAGACGCAACTCCTACATTGATGGGCCAAACACTTCAAAAACATCCTCAGCCGTCCCTCCACAATCACAGACGCCGCCATCGCCCGTCTGTCTCAAGTGGAGACCAACGTCGACCTCGACCTCCCACCCTCTCTACACGAAACCATCAGGACCGTGCAGCAGCTTTTCAGCAGGAAAGCGCCCGGATCGAACGCGATGCCCGCTGAGATCTATAAGCACGGTGAATTATCTACTGCGCTCTTCCAGGAGATGTGGCGCCGACCTCGACCTCTCTCCCTCTCTACACGAAACTGACAGAGCCGTGCAGTGGTTCTTCAGCGGGAAAGCGCCCCGATCGGACGCGATTCTACCGAGATCTACAAGCACGGCGGCTCCCAACTCGTGAATCTTCTGACGGCGCCTTTCCAGGAGATGAGACTTCAAGGTACAGCCCCGCAGGCTTTGAAGGACGCCACAACCGTTCATCTCAACAAGCGGAAAGGGAGTCGCCAAATGTGTGGGAAACACATGAGTATCTCCATCCTCAACATCCCTGGAAAGATCTTCAATCGCGTTCACCTCAATCGCCTTCATGGCCGCCTGGAACAGGCCCTCATGCCGAAAGCCAATGCGGCTTCCGCCTTCATCGAGGCATTATCGACATAATCTCCACCGCCCGCCAACTGCAGGAGAAGTGTCAGAAGATGCGGACTTACCTGTACTCTGCCTTTGTGGATCAGACAGAAGCCTTCCACACGTGAATCACAAAGAACTTTGGAGAATCATGCTGAAATTCGGCTGTCCCAAGCGATTCATTCAGACGGCACGTTAGCTTCACGGTGGCATGACGGCGCGCGTCACGGACAACGGAGCCGTCTCAGAGGCCTGCACAGTGACCAGCAGAGTGAAGCAGGGATGCGTCCTCGCGTCCTCTCTCTTCAGTCTCATGTTATCTGCCATACTAATGGACGCCTATCCTAACAAACGCCAAGAATGCGCGTCGTCTATAGGACAGATGGCCAACTCCTCAATTGTCGACGTATGCACATCCAACTGCGTGTGTCCACAGCTACCTTCCATAAGCTTCTCTTCGCCGACGACTGCGCTCTCAACGCACCCAAGTAATGGGCCATATAAAGGAGTATGGACTTTTTCGCTGTCGCCTGTGACAACTTTGGCCTGATCAACAACACGGTGACGACGGTGGTTATGCACCAGCCGCCACCCAACGTTGCCCACAGTACATCCCAAATCAGCGTGAACGCCCCCCAACTGCATGCCGTGGACACCACCTATCTAGGCAGCACCATCATCGACGATGAAGTGGGCCACCGGATTTCCAAAGCCAGTCAAGCCTTCGGCGGCCCGCAAAACACCGCCTGGAATCGTCGTGGTCTCCATCTCATCACCAAACTGAAGATTACAAAGCAACCATCTACCGACGCTGCTGTATGGAACGGAGACCTGGACAGTGTACAAGAAGCAGGCGCGGAGACTCAAGCACTCCCACCTCAGCTGTCGTCGACGGATAATAAAGCTGAGGTGGCAGGACTGGGGTCCCGGACACGAACATACGAGACAATAATCCTCAGTATCTACGCCATGCTGAGACAATTGCAAGTGCGCTGGAACGGCTACCTTGTGGGAATGAACGACGGGTGGCTACCCAAACGACTCTTCTATGAAGATGTCAGCACGGGATCCCGCCGCAAAGAGGCCAAGTCCGGCGCTACAAGGACACTCTGAATGCTTCCTTAAAGCGCCAGCAGATCAACCCGGTCAACTGGAAAGACTCTGAGAGAGGCTGGAGGAGGACAGCAAAGACACACGCATCGACATACGAAGCCAACCGCGTTACAGCCGCCACTGCCAAACACGAAGCTCGCAAATTACTACTGCTCCCGAATCGCCTGCAACGCCAACGCTCAACCATTCTCAACCTGCCGCGATGTCAGCGGACGTTGTGGGCACCCATCGGTCTTATTGGACATCTTCGGTACCAATTCGCCATCAAAACAACGACATTTTCTTCTCTTCCCACTCTCGCCCCTACCGCAAACTCAAAGCCGACCGCCATTCCCGTCACCGCCGTTCTCACAGTCGCCGCCCCGCCGCCATCATCCGTTGAAACCAACAGCCCCCCCCCCAGCAGCTGCATCGACCGCAGTGGCCAGTACCCGTATCACCAGAACAACGACCTCACGCACTCCCTCACCGAGTGGATGACGTCCAATGTCCCTTCGACTTCAGACACCACCAGCATCTCCACATCCAGCGATGTGGGCTCGATTCATACCAACCCAATTACGATCGCGCAGAGACTGATTAACCCGTGTCTGGAGCACCAACCTACACTCGCCGCATCCACTTCCACTGCCCCCACTGCCTCGCACATTCAGCCATCGCATGGACCTAGTAGGCCGCATACGCATTCGCGAAAAGCAGCGGTAGACAACAGCCGGCTACACTACACCATCGCATCTTCTCCCCCCCCCCCTACCACCACTACCACCGCCTGCATCTCACAACACCATCACCCATTACAAACACTCAATTGCCACCTCCCACGCAAGTGGAAAGTGTGCTTCTCGACTCCGTCGCCATGCGGCTCCTCTGCTGCACGTGTGATCTGAGTCTGAAACTATCGCGGTTCGCCGAGCGTCGTGGCTTGGAAGGTTTTTGACTGACGCCCTAACTCAGTCCACGCAGTCTGTCCAGTTGCGTGAGTTTGTGTGGAGTGGCGGACTGGTGGGCTGAGAGTCAGACTGTCGTGGCTCCTTCTTCAAGTGACCTGTGGCATCCTCATGCATGTGAGGAGTGCGTGTGCTTTATGGGTAGGACCTCTCAGTCGACGCCTGCTTGGTTGCCCAGCCTTTAAAGGAAAATACAGGGTTATGTGTCACCCTTCTGCGCCTAAAGGTCTGTAGGCGTCTGCTATGCCAGTCTCAGCTAACCATGGTTCTCGTAGCCAAGTGTTCGTCAGCAGTTTTATGGCATCACGTTCGTGCCGGTAGATGTGCTTGCGCTCCCGCTGGGTATACAGGTCGTGAGCATGGCTGTTCAGTCATCCTTCTCTTTCCGACCCGTTGTGGTGTTGTTGTTGTTGGTTAAAATCCTGGTCAAGTGTTTGTTGTGGACCGGGGAGTGCAAAGTGAAGCGTCAAGGTGTGGGCTCGGTCGGGTCATCCACCTGCGCTTTCCTCCCCAGGCCTCCGGTCTTCTAGACTCTGTCCGGACACCGGGACCGGATGGAGGGGAGGAGAGATTGCGGTAGATGCTGCGTAAGTCTAGGTTCACTATAAACTAATTCACAGGCATACCATCGTGCCTGTTTAACTTTGCTGCGGAGCACACGGTGGACGTCGTTGGACACGACACTAGTACTGCCATATATATACATGTGTTTCTAATAGAAGCGAATATTCGAGTCCCCGGACATAAATGTGAAGAACAGGCGATCTCGAGAACCATGATTGTATTGTCCTGACGTTTCAAATGCAGACAGGCTTTCGTCGTCGGAGGTGAGTATCGTATCGCATCCCACAGTATTTATAGGAGGGGGATAGATAACAGTCATGCTAACACGGTGGTAATTATACGGGGGGAGTGGTTAATCGGCATTGGTGCTAATGGCCCGCATACGCACAGGGATCGTCTCTGTAGTCGCCGTGGCAGAACGGGAGGGAAGGTGATTGCTGTCAATCTGCCTGTCTCTGGTCGGGGGCGACATTTGGACGTTGGTGGCCATCGTCCGCATTCACGTCGACCTTAGTTGTCGTCCTGGGTTCCTGGTCTTGATTGCATCCCTCTGACCGCGTTTCTCCCCGTCTGCCGGAGTAGTAGTTGAGACAACAGTATTGATGACTGCGCCTTCGTCGGGCCCGATTTGCGATGTGGCTACGTGTAGGTCCGCCGTAGGCTCTCCCGTGTTTGGATTCACGTCCGGTGTGACTTTGCGCTTGCTCTTTAGTTCGTCGAGCTGCATCCGGAGGGCTGGATAGACTGACGGAAGCGCGACACAACCGTTTATTGAGGTTGTCTCCGTGTGCCAGGCCTCGATCGTTTTCCTGGCTACGCGGTCATTGCCTCGACCCAGAATTTTGGCGTTCTGGAAGGCGAAAGTGTGTTCAGAGTCCGCTCAGTGTTCCGCCACCAGAGACAATGGGTCCATTCTCCTCACTGCCCGCATGTGTTCGTTAACGCGAGTTTGTAACCGTTTGCCTGTCTCTCCGACGTAGTTTGCTTGGCAAGAGTTACACTGGACCCGGTAGATGACATTTGTCGTCTCACCTCGGGTATGACTGGCTGACAACGCTTAATGAGCCAGAAATGGCTATATCCGTCTCCCTTGCCTTTGTCGGTAATAACATACTGCCTATATCATGCGCCGCTGTGCGGCTGCTGGTTAGGCTCGAGGGAGAGCCCGTAAGGCACAACGGAATGATGAGACGTTTCCCGATCGCGTTACGGGATACTCATTTCTTTTTGTCCTAGGACTCATTCTCAACCCCCGCCAGTTGTAATCTAGCGGACAGTATTATAGGCAGAATTTGTTGGTTAGAAATCCAACTTCTTAGCCACTGAGTCACAAGACCGTTGTCCTGTTGGTCGAGATTTGGTTTATTCACAGTAGATGGGTGGTCATCGAGTGCGTTACGGGACACACTCGTCCTGTTGTGTCTTGCGGTTTGATCTTGAACCCTGCCAGCAGCCGCTTAGCGGCTAGTATTGTAACTAATGACGGTTAGCCATTTCGGTCCTGCTTGTCTTTCTTGGCGATGTCACTCTGCCTAGAGTACTATTCGTTGAGCATTTGCTGTTTTTGCTCATGATTAACAAAATGGAACACCAGAACAAGTATGCCCCATAACGCGATCGATGAGCACCTATCTACCATTTCTTATATACCCCATTGTAGCCGACAGGACAACGAGCTCGTGGCTTCATGTTTAGGGCGCTAGACTTCTAACCAGCAAATCGTTGGTTCGAGTCTCAGAGGTCGCAAAAGGCGGGGTGGGTTATGGTTTGTCGACGGTGGTTAGCAATTCAGAGGTGGCCATCCCAGTCTCACTTGCCTTCGTCCATCATGCCATTTTGTATATACACATTTACATGTTAATAGAGGCGAAGATGCGCGTCCCCGGACATAATTGAGAAGAAAAGGCGATCTCGGGAACCATAGTTTTACTGTCCTGAAGTTTCAAAAGCATACAAGCTCCCATCGTCGGAGGTGAGTGTGGTATCGCGCCTCACAGTATTTATAGGCGGGTGACAGTCATGTCAAAACGGGTTTTCTTACATATGAAGTCAAGGCGGCAGGGGGGAAGGGGCGGGGGGAGTCCTAAAGCGTCTTTTCGCCGGATGAGGGGGTGGGGGATCAGCTTTAGTGGTCATCAGCCGCATGCACACATGAACTGTGGCGGGCGGGGGGAGGGAGGGGGGGTGACGGAATGTACTCAGTCCACATCGGAGGCCGGTGTTGAGACGTTGGTGGTCGTTGTTCGTACCTTCATTGACCGTAGCTGTCGTCCAAGCCTGGCAATCTTGTTTACGCCGCAACGACTGTCCGTTTTCTCGTCCGCCGGACTAGTAGATGGACCGGCTGTGGTGAGCACTGCGCCCTCGTCAGAACCCGGTTGAGGGGTTGCTGAATGTGTATCCGCCATGGACTCGCTCATGTCTGGCTTCATGTTTAGCCTGGGTGCACGTCTGCTCATTTGTTTGCTGAGCTGCGCTCAAAGGGCTTGATAGGCGGCGGGAGGAGCCACACAGCGGTTGATGGAGGTTGTCCCCGTGTGCCAAGCCTCGATTGTTTCCCTGGCTATGCGATCGTTTCCCCGGCCTAGAATTTCGGCATGCTGAAAGGCGAACGTGTGTCCGGCATCGGCGCAGTGTTCGGCCACCAGAGATAAAGAGTCCATTCGCCTTACTGCCCTCATGTGTTCTCCAACACGGGTCTGTAGCCGTTTGCCGGTCTCCCCAATGTAGTTGGCTTCGCAGGAGTTACACCGGATCCGGTAGATGACGTTCGTGGTTTCACCTAGTGGCAGAGGGACCTTAGGTCTCATGACCAGATGTCGAATTGTGGACTCCGGTCTGTGGGCGATGCCGATCCCAAGCGGTCTTAAGAGACGCGAGACGGCCTCAGAGACGCTGTCGATGTATGGAAGCGCCCGCCATATTGTTGGTCGTTCTGTCACCAAACGTCGGCTCGGTCCGGCCTGTCTGTCCTTTTCGATGAAGTTGCGAGGATACCCGTTGGCCATGAAGAAGCGTTGGAGGTAGCGTAGTTCTGACCTTCTGTCGTCCGGCTCGCTGCAGTGTGTTTCTGCCCTTTTGTAGAGTGTTCGCACACAACTGCGTTTGTGGCCTAACGGGTGCTTACTGTGGAAGCTCAGGATTTGGCGCGTATTAGTGGCCTTCCTATATACCGTCGTTTTAAGGTGCCCATTGGGTTTTCGATGGACGAGAACATCCAGGAACGGCAGTTGATTGTTGGCTTCCGCCTCCATTGTGAACTGGATGTCAGGGAAAACAGAGTTCAGAACATCATGGAATTCCTTGACCATTTGCCGCTTAATTATAACGGAGGTATTATCAACATATCGAGCCCAAAATTTCGACTTATAGGTTGATAAAACGAGGGTCTCTACTTTTTGGAGAACTACCTCCGCGATGAAGCCCGAGAGCGGCGATCCCATTGGCGTCCCCTTGACCTGCTCGTAGGTCGTGCCTTCAAAGGTAAAGTAGGTCTTCAGGCAGAATCTCAGCAATTGGACGAGATGTCTCCGTTTTATCGTCACGTCCGTCTCGTCGTACCGACTCTCGAGCAGCTCGTTGACCGTTTCGATCGAGGTGAACAGAGAGGTGACGTCGAATGACACCATGACCTCGTCTTCGGTAAGTCTCATCCCTTTGATCCGCTCCAGGAACTGAGTCGCTGAACAGACCGTCGTGCCCGCGTCCGAGGTAAGAGACCTCAGGTTTCGGAACAGCCACTTGGCCAAATTGAATGTAGTTGCGCCGCGCAATGATACGATTGGCCGGAGGGGGACCCCGGCTTTGTGTACCTTTGGTAGTCCGTAAAAGCGTGGTGCGGCCGCGTCTACTGGCTTAATGGTCAGTCGTATCGATTTACTTATTGCCTTGCTCGTTTGCATGTCGGCGAGTGTCTTGTCCAGTTGCGTCACCAGCCTCCTCATCGGTTCATCGTTACATGGTAGGTACGTGTTCTTTGCGAGATTCTCACCGGTTTGCCAAAGACAAAAACTTGGTGTTCTGCCTGTTCGACGGGATTACTATAATCTGTCGGCCAGAGAAAAACGATAGTGAAATTAGTTTTCCCAGGGACGTCTTTTTGGAAACGGATATCCAGAGAAATGTATCGATAATGTCCCGATATCCGACATGAACATCCAATAGAGATGTTTGTGCCAAAAGGCCGGCAACGGTGACAATGTTTCAGTTGTGATCAAGCTGCGGCTCCGGAGCGCGGCTGAACGGACGTAAGCCGCCGCTAACTTATTACTCCTAGGCGCCACAACGCCTGCTCCAATTGAAGGCGACTTGTCTACACACGCCGCACCAAATTCTATTTATGAGTTTACATGTATTTGGCGAACGCAAATATACTGAGTGCACGAAAATGCAACTAGCGACTCGATCACATGAATATGTGGTGAGATGGCTGTTGAGGGTACAAAATAAGACATCAGCAATCTCCGCTATTAAACACCCGGCGGACAATGCACACGTGGTGGATTAAAGTGTTTCGTCTAAAGAACCGCCTTGAACGACGACCGGCCGCCGCGTAAACTATTCAGAAACCGCGACAGTACGAAGTAGAAAGCCAGAATGCCGTTAATAGTTGAATCATGTAATCAATCTCGTTCTGCCATGATACGAATAAGCGAGTGACGTAATCCCATTCTCCCTCTCCTTCCTCCGACCCGCGACTGACTGACTAATGTTCCGTGATGATGTATAATCCTAATCACGCTTGACTGTGTTTCATTGTAAACAGATCTCGCTCACATATACAGCTTCCCCCCTCGCACCATGTCTACCGGCATGTCTGGTCGACATCCTTTCCGTTTATATACCTAGTCTGCTGTAACCGGCCTGGGATATTTTCTTATTGAACCGCCGGTTTTATAAATAAGCAATGATTGCTAATAGGTATGGTATTAACTTCCGCGTGCTTCGTCATCATTGCCTACTTCAAGGCTATTTCGGGAAAGTATTGTTTCTTCTTTCCTCCCTTGAAACTATCGTCAATTTGCACATCCCACTTGGTTGTCTTAGGCTGTTCTCTCTCTAAATCACCTGTTTCATAAATATGCAATGACCATTTGCAGTTAAGTAAAAGGTCGCCAAAGTTATGACATTAGTAGCTTATATATGTTCCGTCGGTGTAGTCTTATTCAACTTTATTCCATTAAAGCAGTCCTGCAGTTTAAAAAGGATACGCAATTAGCCCTAGTAACGAGGGATAGTGCAGAAAGCGTCGCGAAATGTATGGACGTTAGCAACCCTTTTGAATCCGAATTAGACCAATTCGTCAAGTAAACAGCTCAAATAAGAGGAAACTGGAAATGTGCAAGCATGTGCATCACAGGATCCAACTCACGCTGCCATAGTGAGTCTGGAGGGGAAATAATCCCATTCCCTCCTCTGTCCCCTCACCCCCACGTGACTGACCAACGTTCCATGCAGTTTAGTCCCACTTGCGCTCGAGTTTGCTCCGTTGTAACCGAAACTCGCTGACGTATACAACCCCTTCCTACCTCTCCCACCCGCGAGCCTGATCAAAATTCCCTGTGCTTTATGTACCTTTTCCGTTTGGTCGATCAAGGCGGCTTTCTTGTCGGATTGCTGATGTAATGACCATTGGTTGAATAAGGGGTCATCAGATTTATGACGTCGTTGGGTTCTCCATCTTGCGTCACCTTTGTATTACTAAACCCCATTTGACGAAAACAATGTTTCACCTTAAGTGCAATGCTTGAGGGGGGTTCTTTCGATAACAAAAAGTATTAGAACTGCCAGAAATTGACGTCGTTTTTTATTAAATGACAAGAAAGAAAAGTGTCTACTCGAGAAAGTTTCATTTTCAGCTAGTTATATTGTCGCTGTCGTGAACAATCACCGTTGCCTACCTTGAAACTAAGTTCTCAATACCCTCTTTCTAAATGGAAGTTTGTTTTAATGCAAAGAATTCAGAGAGCCCATTCTCGACATCAGTTATATCTTGAAAAGTCTTCTGCTCAGGAAGTGTTTCAGAGATTTGACGAAACGATAATCACTTGACCCACAATTAGGTGAATAGGGCGAATGGAGCAAAAGTGCCCACCCTAAATCTCGGGTCTTGTTCTGGATCTATCGGGCCAAATGCTATCTCGAATTGTCATGCAGAAGAATGGCACCCTTTCTGTTGGTTAGTGTTGAATGTTTAACGGCGAGAACTTGGTGCAAAAGTTTTAGTTGTTGATAGTAGAGGTCGGCTATTACTATTTTACCTTGTCCCAGTGGCCCAAAGTAAAATGTGCCTGCCATACTCCAGCAAAACTAGTTAGAATTCTTTGGGTATGGGCCTGATTTCGGCGTTGGAATTGGTGTCTTACCTGTGAAAAACTATTGGTATTTGAACTTTCGGTTGACGCAAAGAACCCATCCCTAATTTTCAATGACAGTCCAAAGAAGAACTTGTTCCCTCTTTTGCCTGCCTAAAAAAAGTTACAGCTTATGAAACGCTGGACTTCATTTTATATTGGAAGTTGGTATGGAGCCAAAACTCTTTGTTTATTAACCTCCCTTATCAGTTGAAGTTGCTCCTGAACAGTAAACAACGATAAAATTAGTTTTTCTGACAATTCCTCGATGATCTGATGAGGATCTGCCCCGACGGTTGCGCACAAGAGGTTATTGTCTAGCTCCATTGGACTTTCCGGATAGTGGGCATCGGAAAGGCTGAACTCGTCAGATCGGAATTTTGCGAGCCAAGGCTGTCACCGCAAATTGTTTAGGCGGCTGTTGTCACGTTGTTTCTTCTGCAAATTCATACAGCACAACATTATGAACATGACTGTCTGCGGATTTTCGTCTCCCAATTTGTCAGGCTCAATCTAAGAACAAACGTTACATCAAAGTTCAGAAAACAAGAAGTAACTGACTCATAAAGACACAGTGTAAACTCAGCAGATAAAAACACAAAGTACAGTAGGTGGGCTAACTCATGAAATGTCAACAGAAATTTCGAAATGCGTTCTCGTTTCGAAAAGATTAATTAAATAGGGTTGTAAAACTAATTATCATGCACCATAGTTCTACAATGATCCAGTTACCTCAGAGTGTCAGCTTTCGAATGAACTTATTTTCGACTGAATGCAAGAACCATACTCTGCAAAAAGTGACTACTTAAGTAGCATGCGATTGTCTCATTGATTTTCGATGTCCTTGAAAACTCATTCATATTTCATGGAAAACATGCATAAAAATATTCATTCTTTTACTTTTTTGGTAGGAAATCACGTCTTCGTCCCATTTTATACGCGAAAGAAAGGTATAATTCGATTTCAAAAAAGTTTCTAATGGTAAGATTTTTGGATACCGTGGAATCGCCGTTCATAAAACGTCATGTATCTACATTTACGAATGTGGCCTGTAAAGTTAACAATAT